GTATAATGCAAAGTGAAGCTGCATCTGATTGATCATTGTGTAGTCTTTCCCTGAAAGATACTAAGGGAGACAAAAGTCACAAAAATTGAGACAAGGGGAAGGGAAATAATTGAATTCTTACCTGCATCTGCGTGATCTTTTTCAATAAAGAGACTTAAGTAAGTATTTTCATTTGAAGATTTTTCAACCAAAATCTGAAAAGTGATTAATATAAAGACTATTATTCTGTGTTTTATATTAAAAAATGTCAGGAAATATCATCAGTTCATACCTTAAAGATTTTTCTTTCATGAAGAACTGTTTTTTCCTATACATGCCACTTATACATTTAATTGCTTCTTCATTACTTAAGGGAACAAAAGTGTCACTTTAATCTGTTTATTCAAACTAGGTGATGTTTTCAAAACACAAGAATGAGTACACTTGATATGTGGAGAAAAGGGAAAAAACAACTCAAATTCTCAGAACAAAATGTTTTCAACAAGATTAAAATAGAAACTGTACTGTACCTTGGTTAGCAAGGTTTGTTTTGATGGTGTGTGAATAAGATGGAAATTGCCATTTTTCTCACCGACCACAAGAAACTGTTTTTCTTGACACATACCAATCACATCCACATTAGTATCTGAAAAGGTCCAAGGCAAAATGTCAAATATTAAGATTTTTTTTTTAAATAATAGACATTCATATTTGAAACAGAAATTGGACAATACAGTGTCCCAGATTTCTTCAAAATTGTTTATTTGGATTAAACAAAGTACAGAAAAGGTCATGTAGGGAGTGGTTCTGGTATTCATTATTCCCATTCCAATGAAAAGTTAGCAAGAATTCTATTTAAATTCTATAGAAATACTTAATGACATACAGAATGAGCACTTTTTATTTCTTAGGTGTTTGTTATCATTCATTTTACAGATTAGTTAGATGTGCAAAATACTGTATTTTCATATAAAAACTTAGCATGTATTTTAAAAGATAGTTTTAACTTTCAGTGGAATTTCAAAGGCATGAACTTACCAAACTGAACGTGCATCTGAAGGGACTGCCCAGTACTGTCAAGAAGTGCCACTGATCTGTCAACAACAATAATGCTGCCATCCCTGGAGCTGCATGCATACAGCTGTGGATTAACACAGACCTAAGAAGAAAAAGGCTTGTTTAGATAACTTAGCCATATAAAGTATGATGAAGAAGCTCTGGTGATGATAAAGAGAAATACAGCTTTGATGAATTCTACCTTTTCTGAAGATGTGATTTGAAGGAGTGTGTCCACTTGGTACAAGGCAGTTCCACACTCGTGTCCTAAACCTACAGGGAGCTGCTCCTTCCCCGTGTCATCGTTTGCTAGAAGTTCAATGTCATTCCACATGTTTACCTGTGATAAAGGAACACACAGGTAGATGAACACACACAGATTTCTGATTTTATTGTTGCATCGTGATTCTGTGCCTAGGAGGAAGGGCAGCACAAGAAGCCTCCTGAACGGCGCGTTCTGCAAAGACCAAGTGAAGTCGCAGAGCGATGCGGATCCCAGGGAACGTCCCCAGAGGGCCCGACCGGGCGCAGCTCGGCAAGGAAAGGTTTCACGCCCGAGGCTGAAAGGAATTCGGTACCAGAGAGCGTTCCTCGCCTGGCTAGGCAGCGGACAGCCCTGCTCGCCGGGACCTGGACGCGGCCCGCCCGGTGTCCCCTCAGCGCGGTGACAGGTCCCGCCGCGCCGCCTC